GAAATTAAAAGGAAATTGAGGGAATTTGCAACAGTAGAACAGCAGAAAGGAATGCAGTTCTTGGAAAATAATAGAAAGCCAGAATAAAAGTGTCTTAGTTAAGTGTCTCATATTTGGCAGTTTTATTCCACTCCCAACTTCCTTAAATATGCAAGATATGGAAGTAAAAATGTGAGAAGTCCAAATTGCACAAAGTAAAGAAGTGGTGAGAATTATTTGTGACACTGCCAATTATAACAGAGAAATTTCATTCAAAAACATGATTATGAAATAGCATTAATTTATTAATAATGCATTGAATAACTTCTACACAAATGGGATAGTCAATATATGAAAACGATTTTTTGTCTGTAATTAGAGTGAAAGACTGATTGTCATTTGTTCAATCATAGATTCTCTTTGGGATTTACTCTTCCTCACAGAAAACTACCTATTCCTATGCTTCCTGTGCACAGCCTGTGAGCACCTCATAATTACCCTGCAAAGCTGGTGCTGGGAAACTCAGATTCCTTTCTCATTGCAAATGAATTAGATATTTCTGTGCTTTGTGCCAGGAGTGTAAAGTGTTGCTACTGACACCCTACAGGTTTTGCATAAAATCAGAAGATTGTTCTTTGTTGTAATATAGAAACTTGGTTCTGGTCTGAATGTGTAGAGACAATTGGCTGCATGTATTATTTTATTGCCATTGAACATATTATTCCAGTCAAATCTCCTTGGATATCTGGTCTAATTAATATTTAAATTTTTATAAGCTCCTATTTTTACAGGATAATTAAAAATTTCTCAAATCAAGAATATACTATTTTTAAAAACAATTATACAGAGAATGAGTCATCTATATAAATCTGTGTTTGAACAGTAACATGAAAAGAAAAATTGTAAAAACCTTGCAAGAGATTTTTCCTCTCAGAATCCTGTTGGTATTTAGGGAATATTTTGTTTTCTGAGTAAAAGTAATAATCTTTAACTATTTTACAGCTTCTGTGTTTTGTGATTTATCACTGTAACACAGCTGTAATTTTGTCTACCCTGTATAAACCAGTATTTCCTTAAAGGTTCATTTTGGACAACTGTCCCCTAGTGTGCCAAAGAGAGTGTTTTTTTTCAAAGTAATATAATATAATATACAATCTTTCAAGACTCTCCTAAAAGCTTTATTGATCTTTGGATCTTGCTCTGGTGTGCAGAGAAGGAGGATTAGGTAGAGTGCATGTAACTACAAACACTCACTGAGAACTGTAGATCAAACGTGCTTTACCATATATAGAAAAAAAATCCTTTGTGAATTCATTGTGTAGATAACATTTTTTATTCAGCATATGCTGTGGAGGCAAAGATTTTAGTTGATGGTGCTGACCATAAACTGAAGACTTGCATTTTATTTCAAAACTTCATGCACTTACAAAAAGATAGGAATAATCTGTGTGTGGAGATTTCTCGCTAACAGTTTCAAAGAAGCTATCACAGTAGCTTGCTTGGATGGCAGGAGCAAAAAAGAGAAAGAGAAATGGATAAATCTGCAGAGTATGCTTGCCTTCAGAGAGAAAATTTGATGGATACATGCCAGCAAACATGTTTTATTTCCCACCATTTAATTTATAAATTTATGAACCCACTAGGAAAATAATGGTCTTATCCTTGTGAAAAAGATCCCTAAAATGGAGTTTAAATCAAGTACATGTCTTTTACAAGCAAGTCAAATCTATACCCAGCTGCAGAGTTATTCTCCTTGATATGGTTTATAGAAATTTGAACCAGAAATCTTGATCAAACAGCTCTGAGCTTTGAAACATCTGAAATCAGGTCCAATTTCTGAGACTGGATAAGCAGTCAGTGATTTAATTTCTGTTAAGAAGCCTTTTCTCTATGAAACTTGCAAGCAATTCTTGAAGCTAGGTGTGTTTTAAAAGGCAGCAAGATGCAGTAGGAGCAGATCAATTGGTATTGAGGCATCTGCCTTAACACAGGTGTCAGGCATGGTTTATTCAGCTCTAGTTTGATTCTATGGACTGAGTTCCCTTTAGTGGTTGGTGTGCATTAGCAGTGCTCCCAGATCACAACTTCTGGTTGAGTTTCATCCTGAAGGAAACCACTTTGTGCACTCTGATGTTGTGTGATGTGAACCAAAATGCAGTCCTTGGGAACAGTGGGGGGTTTGCATTCAATAGCCCACTTCTGATCTGAACAGAAGTGTGAGTCTAATTTTTTAGGTGATGAAAGGTAGTTGAAAAAATGAAGGAAGCTATTTATTTGATGGTAAAAGCAGACTCTTTTAGCTACTCTAGAGTACTTTCTAAGATTTCAAATTTTTTTGCAAAACTGCATTATTTAAAAGACCAAAGGCATTTGTCTTGGAAGAATTGATTCAAAAGTAACATATAAATTAATTTATATATTTTCAGAAGTAATTCTTGGCTTCCTCATTTGGAATACTGCAGTTTCTTATAAGTTTTTAATATATCCCAGAACAGCCCTGATGTTTATGTAGCAGTAGCATAACTAGGGAAAGCTTTTCCCACTTGTTGATCAACATCTGGAGAGTTGAGATGAAAAGCATATGAGGTCACACTTCTGCCTTTTTCTCCAGCTAAAAATAAATGCCATGCCTGCCTTTGGCTTGTAATATATGTAGGAGTCCAAGCACAGCTGAGAGGCACAGTAGCATTAAGCTACCATCAGGATTGAGAGGCTATGCTGTTCTGAAGCCAGCAGATACAGTGGGTAGACCTTTAGGTGGCCACCTTGTGTGCCAGGAACCAATGACACCCTATGGAGATAAAGAATTCGACCTTAAGGATGCAAGAGAGAGAATTGGTGTATCTTCCTCTCATATTTAAAACTATTTTCAGTTCTCCCAGAGTGAAGTGGCTGGGGTGAGATTTCCTACTTGTCTTTTCTATCAGGATCAGAGATTTCAGAGTCTGCATTAACTGAAATAAGGGTTGACTTGATGTTATAGTGTTGTACAGGTTTTCATCTAGGTCAGTACCTGCAATTAGATAGGCTTACCTTCTGATTCTATCAAAGCCACATCCAACTTCAAATCTCCCAAAATAGCACTACAGGATGATGCAATACCACTGAACTTACCCCAGAGTTTCAGCATCAGGACATGTTCTATGACTTCTTGTGTCTGTATGTCCAAGAGTTTCCCCACATTTACAATTGGTGTGTTTGGTGTGTTAAAAAGAGTTTTGAGTCTTTAGTTTGGAAAGCGCGTGATCTCATTCTGTTTTAGAAAGCCCTGGATGTGTACTCCAATGCCTAATATAAAAACTGTCTTTCATTCTTGCCAGGGATCTGATCAGTCCAAAGCACACTGCTCTCTCCGACTGAAATCCAAACCTCTGTTGTTGTCAGGTCACTTGACACTCACACTTCCTCATTTTCCATACCAGATGAAAAGAAACACAGAATATGTATCATATGTAGTAGATTTATTTTTACTTTTAGTTACCTCACAAAGACATAAAAATTAAACAAACATTTGAAATAATGAATGACATTTTAAGTTTGTAAAAATAGACATTATGCACACTTTTATTTTCAAAAGGATTTTCAGATTTATGAGCTTTATCAATGAAAAAATATTAATACTACACATTTCCTCCATGATACCTGAGGAGCAGAATTATATTTTGTGCCCAAAAATAATTCAGGAAGTAACCTTGAAAAGGGTGCAACGCTTTTTTTTTTAATCTCTGCTTTTGATATGGAAATGTAAGTAATAAATGCAGTGACACACACATTTTAAAACTTTTGAGTTCTGAAAAAATACTTTAAGACATTTTGAGAAGTCTTTGAAGATACGGACATTGTATTTAAATCTTTGGGACCTGTGAATTTTTAAAATAAATTTAAAGTATGTATAATTTATTTTGATTCCACATTCTACTTGTATTATAGGCTTACATTATAGAATGGGTAAAGTACATGAGATTGTTTGTCTCTGGGTTGTTAATTTTTTGCTAGTCTTGTGGATTTGATATAAAATTTTGTAGATTTTTCTACTTTAGAGCATGTTCAAAATACCCCAATAAAGAATTTATGACTTGGTTTGATGTTTTCTAAAAGTGCTAAGTATGGTTTTCCCATTACGTGTGTTTATGTGGCTGGCACCTACCAGAAAACAATGTAGTCCTTGACAAGTTTCAGAAATTGATTATAAACCCATATTCCTTCAGCTTTTTGGTTTTTTATTCCTTAAGACTTCACCAGGCTTTTTAATAAAAGACCTTGCCTTTGCATATTTTAATTAACATTTTATTTTAAAGTTGTCCAAGCTTTAATTTATCAGCAATAAAGATATTGTGATGATATTTCCCCATTGTTTCTAGTATGGAAATTTAAATATGGAGATACAAACATCCACTATCATTTTCTGCAGGAAAGTTTTAAAATTTGTTTTCATTATGAATTCACAATTCTTATTAGAGTGTGAGGTTCTTTTTCCAAAAAACAATTTACGTGTGTGCATGCCTTAGAACAATTTTCTGCAAAGTGATGTGAAAGTTGATATAATTGCAAAATCATTAAGACAATGTAGAACTTTTGCTTTGCTTCATACTAACCAGTCTTTATTATACTAACCATTTATTGTGTGACTTGACATTTATTTTTTATCACAGTTGCTGCATCAGAAAATCAAGGCACTATAACCCCAAATTCAGAGCAAAGTAAGCAAAACATGTTTGGGGCATACATTAATGATAGTTGAATAATAGCAGACATGAATAACTGCTTGTTTTGTACTAAACATGTAAAATTGCTGTTTTTCTAATCTGTCAAGTTTCTACATTTATAGCGGCCCAGCCTGTAAGACTTTGATGGTGTTGGTGTTTGCACAAATACCTAATTTAAGTTAAAAGTAATATCTTGCTTACAGCACTTATGTATATAATATATATATATGTGTGTACATAATGCTGTAGCATTCATGTAATACCTCGGCTGTTTCACTTTTTGTGTTCTGGAGAGCTTTTTTAGTTGATACTTCCTTGAGTTATACTGACAGTTTCAAAACCAATATTTTAGCAGAATTTTGGTGGTATAATAATCTATTGCTGCCTAACAAGGACTTCTGCCTCTCTCAGAATCCCACAGGGAAAGGTTTAAAAGCTGCTACTTTGGATTTAGGCAGAAGTCTTGACACTCGTACTGCAGTTCTAAGCTGGTAAAGGCTTTTTGTGTGCATGCATACATTTGTGTGTTAACCTAGGACTAGCATTTGGGGTAAACCGTGACTGTTTCGTATCCCTCTGGTGGCCTCATGCGGGCGCGGGCGTGAGCTTCACAGTACAGCTGGCCCTCCACAAAGAAGTAGCCTTTTTGTTTCAGGTTGAGATCGCAGTCAGAGCACACAAAGCACTCCGGATGCCGGTATTTATCACGTGCCTTCACCACTGTCCCTCTATTTGGAAACAAGGAAAAGAAAAAGGCCCAATCAATGAATACGAATTCAAAATGAGAAAAGAAACTGCAGCAACCCGGATTATTAGAAGTTGTCTCTGCCGATGGCAGGGGGGTTGGAACTAGAGGATCTTTAATGTCCCTCCCAGCCCAAACCATTCTGATTCTATGATACAAGGTATGTTCTAGGTATTTATTTTAAGGCTTTACAGTTGTTCATCTTGTGGTTTTAGAAACTACTATATAATTTAAGGTTGGATGTTGAGTTTGAGTAGGTGACATGAAATGCTGTAGAGTTGATCACATAGTTCACAAGCCCTGGAAAATGAAGAGTTTGAAGAAACATGTTGGTTTGGTTACAGGACAGAAAGCACAGCCTAACTTATCAAAAGGGTGACAAAATGACTTTCAAAACCACATTGCTTTTTCTTCATGTGTGTGTTTTCTCAGTTCATCACTATCTGTGTTCTTTGCTGAAGTTAGTGATGTCAATCAGGTAGAAATCTGATAGTTTTAAAACAGGACTATAGAGCTTTCTGAATACTCCCACTGGGTTGGGAAAAGGATGCTTTGCATTAGCAAGAAATTTTTGGAAATTCACAGCCTGACACAGCACAGCATGGGTAGCTGCTGGTTTCATTGTGTAATTGTTAATAGTTGACTTGCAAAAGGTCCTGAGAAATCTCAATTAAAACCTCAGTGGTACTTAGTCAAAACTTATATAATCTGTATTAAAATTGTTGAAGGTACAGGTTATAATTTGACATTTGGAACAATATATTTTTATATCTCTATTCTCTAGCAGCACTTCTGTAGTTTCCAGTGGTGTTTGAGGATGACATGTGCTTCAGCTGGGGATTTCTAAAACGAAAAATAAACAACTTACAGGATCCCACTCCCACATTTGTCACACTGTGGCACTTTCTGGACACCAGGCATGGCAGTAGGTATCTTTGTTACAGGTGCTTTCACACTTCTTGTTCCCACAGGGCGCCCATCTGAGAAACAAAACAATCCTGTTATGTACAGGATAATATAAAAGCATCTGATGCAGTTAAGTACTTTTCTGCACTTTTCTGTACTTTCTGTACTGTATGTACTCTTCTGGATGTTTTTACAGGCTTTCACTTGCATGAACAAACAATGCAGTCCCACTAGAAAAGTTTAGTAGGCCAGATTCCACCTCTTTGGAATCAGGAGAAATATTTTGTAAGCTGCAGCCAAAAGCAAGTCCAAAAGAGTTTGCATATGCAGTGCTCTCTGCCTCATGGACATCACCTAATTCTCTGAGATAGATCTTGGATATAGCAGAGAGGGAGGAGGATTGGACTTTAACACAGAAACATGACATAATCCAGACCTATTGTCAGAAATCTTCTTATTTATATAACTAACCGTACAACAATTTGGAAAGGTTAGTAACATGATATCAATACAAAATAATAGCAAAATACAAGAAAATGCTAAGTAAAATCCCACAATGATATATATGTAGACAATTGGATGACTTTATTCCTTCTCCAGTAAATATTGATATATAAACATTAAAATTTAAAATATTACCTTTTAGGCTAATTTTGGTTCTATTTTGGTCTTTATGTTCTTTTTGCTCAATATAATAAACTTGCTGCCTTTAATAATTTTATTTTCAAAACTTCTTCATTTGAAGGAAATATGACTATAAATTATATTGTCTTCTTCAGTTTTGATTTAGAATGAAGAGGAAATAAGATTTAAGAGGATTTCAGGATTAGTTTAAATTCCTCTTTTCCTGGATGTGGAAGAGAGTGTTTTCTTTCTTGGTGTCATGAGTATAAGCATCTTGTCCCAAAAATGCTCACAGAAAAAACTTTATGTTCAGTTCAAGTCAACTTTGGATATTAAATATCTTAAAATCTGAGAGGAGATTCTGGAAAATGTGATCAGCACCTGCATTGTATTCACAGAGGAGACTGCTTGCTGTAGCAAGGAGGGGAAATGGCAGGAGACTGGTGCGGCAGCTATAAGGTCAGGAATTATTTGGGCTTTCAGGAATTCTTGTATCTCTAATCTTTCTTATTTTCTTCATGGATTCCCCCCTCCCACAAACATTTTGAAAGTATTTGAACAGGTAGAATATGTTGTTATTAACCACCTTCCTCGGAGACTAAATTCTGGAGCACCTTAAAGGAGCCAGACTGGCGCGGCTGACTGGGCTCCTCCTGGTTGGCGTGCAGCATCTTGTACACGTCAGACTGACACACTGAGTTGGGAGATGGGTCACTGTGTTAAAGAAGGAAGAGCAGATAAAAAAAGTTTATCAAACATAACTCTAAAGCAATGTCTCTACCAGGCATAGAGTATGATTCAAGAAACAAACATAAAGACATGTTCCTACGACTATTGAGAAACTTTCTTCCCAGGTAGCATTGCTTTATATGGCCTCTTTGATCTAAAAAGTAATGAAAATAATTAAATCAGTGCAAGTGTTACAAAAATAAATCTAGAAACTCATTTACATATTTCCATAATTACTGTTTTGGCTCTACTGGCATTTGAGAAAAGGCCATTTAATCTCAAAGTAGTTTCATTCCAGTAATCATCTGCTGTATTACCAGGTGCTCTCTGCTATGGTATCCAGAAGTTCCCTTTTTGCAGCAGCTGCTCTCAAGAATGTTGTTAAAATCACAGCTCATGCCTTTACATAAGGTCAGCCAAAACCTAACCAGTCAAATCTTTTGGGAGAACATGACTTCTAAGTTAGCTTGATCACTAGGTAACGTGGTGATTATTTGGCTAAGAGAATTGTTATTTATTAAACATACAGAGATTACAAAAAGGAGTGAAATAAATACTGCAAAATAGGAAACACTGTAAGGTGAATACTGAAAAATGGATGTTCTATTTCTTAATTTAATAAAAATAAGACAAGGATTTCTTTTGCAATGGCAGTGTTATAATAAAAATATAAAGCAATTTATTGCCCAAACAAGAGTTCATGGTTGAATCTCAAATGATCTGTGAAACAAAGATTTTACTGAGAATATTTTCAGAGGCATTTTAAACTCTGCTGAATATTTCAAATTGTTCATGATAAATGGCATCCTAAGTAGTCAAGAGGAAGAGTAGAGGTCTATAAGCACTGACAGGAATTAGACTGAGTATGTAGCATTTGTAAATTTCATATACTTACTGGGGGTAATCAGAAGCATCCAAATTTACTTTGATGAAGTCTGTTATCTTACAGCTACACACGCAAATGTCCAGTTTAAATTTCCTGTTGCAACTGGCTTACTACTGTCCACAAAGAATTAGACTGGGTTTTTCTTTAAATGGTTTAGTTTGTTTCTCCTGGTAGCATCCAAGCTGCCAAATGGCCCAGTAAAAGCAGCAGCAGTTGGACAATGACCCCTGTTGTTTAAGTGAATTTTTTGATCTTCATCAATCAGTAGATTTCTTTGAGCCATCTTTAAGCTGGTGAAAAAACTACCAGTTTCTCCTGTGAGCTTTTAATGAATAGAAGTAGTGTAATTTTTACAATTCTTGGCAATGTTTAATTAAACCCCTGAATTCTCTCCTCTTTACTAAACTATTTATAAATATAAAGCAGGTGATAATGCAATTACATAGAAGGCAAAAACCCCAGACACAAATGTGTCATTTTACATTTCTTAATGCATTCATAGTGAAAACCATCCCAACAGCAAGAGACATTTCAAACCTGCATAGAGAGAGTAGGCGATGTCACAGGCAGTGTGAAATCTGATTACTTTGGGCTTAATCCATTATTTCACAATAATGAAGCAGCAAATTTTTCTTTTATTGTTCTCTAATTGTTCTGATTGAGCATAAATATTCGAGCAATAGAGTAACTTCACTCTGAAAAGACTTCATTAACTACAGTTTTCATTAAATAGGATGAACCTAAATATTTTTATATAGATATGGATTTTTTGTTAGCAGCAGCCAAATTCAGCAAGGTGCTGAAGAAGGCTCATTGGTGCCAGGGATTATTCTTATTTAAAATATTAGTACTTAGCTTTATTTTATGCCATACATATTATGAATTATTAACTTAAGTACTGTTGTAAAACAGGAAAATAGGTCACTATTATGCAAAGGTAAAGATAAAGCAACCTAAGTGGTGAATTGTCTCCTAAAAAATGAATAGTGCTTTAAATTTTTTTTATTGTATAATCATAATTGTTATCCATATACATAAGGTTCCTATCTGACTTTAGTTGTGCACTGAATAAATTCATAAGTCAGACAGGAATTGTAGGCCTACAGTCAATTCTGTCTCTTTTTATATGAGATTTAGTTGTACTGAATGAGTCTAGAATGGGAGTTAAGTATCTAGAATACTATAACCATCTATACTATTTCCTAATCTTCGTAACCTGAATTTCAACAGTAGATATAAATTTTATTTATTATTATTTTATGAATTATTAATAAGATGAAATGTTTAAATCATTATTAGATAAATATAACAGTTGATTAAAAAGTTTTAAATTTTGGAGTGGTCAGTCAGGCAGTAGTCCAGGCAATATCATAGTTTTTATTTATTAGCTGCAATTCTAAGATTATTACTTATGAAAAATTTATTTGTACATTCTGAAGGACTCCTTTAATACTTTGGGTTAAAACCCAGAAATGACTAATATTTTAGTGAGTATTGAATGGTTTTAAATTACTTGGTTTCTCTCTAACCGTTTTCCCCCTTTTCATAGGAACAGTGTGATACTATTTTTTTGGTATACTTTAAATTAGTGTATTTATAAATATTATAGATGCTGCTCTAATTACCTTATGACAGGTGTTTCCCCCAGAGCTGTAGAAACTTGGCCTTGCAGTGTTTCCATGATATTGTCATCTGAGTACAACTGCATAGGTGTGTTAAACTGGGCGTGTACAATCTTGACACCGGGAAGCTCCATTTCCAGGGGCACATTGGGGGCCATCTTAGACACCGCTTTCAGCTCCGTGGGGCAGATGGAGCTGACCGTGCTAATGGAAGAGGGGGTGCTGCGCCCACTGCCACAGTCCAGCCCCGAGGGAGTGCTGCATCCACTGTGTTCATGGCCACAGGGCAGGAAAGGGTACAGTGTGCATGGGATTACAGAGAGTGAAGACAAAAGGACAGGGGTACGGTGATGTTAACAGCGCTGAAAAGCATAAGTGGAACGAGCTCCAAAAAGCAAAAGTACAGAAAGTAGAGAAAAGCAAAAGTACGTGTGGTTATTGATGATAGTTTTCCTATAAAAAGTATCAAGGCCTGTTATAAAGCAGTCCTCAAAATTCTGGCATGCATTTTCTTTAAAGATAGTAAAAATCCTTTGATAGATGAAGTAATTCAGTATATAACATTATTTTACATTTTTAATGCTAGGTTTTATTGTGGAATAATGAAGCCTCCCTAAAATTCTCTGTTCTCAGTGAGTAATTCTCATAATCTATAAAAAGGGTAGGAGGCAAACCTTATGTAAGTTGTTCATGTCAGAGACAGAATAAACACCTGCAGCACTGGAAGAATCCTAGACACATCATTCCAGTTCTGTACCTCACAATTATCTCACTACACTGCCAAAAAACTACTATGAAGTAGTGTAATACAATGAATGTGACATTTCCTAGTTTTACTTAAATTCTAGAGTAAAATATTTCTGTATCTTTTAAAACCAGTTTAACAATTTTTTAAAAAAAATATTTGTTGATCATTGCAAAGAAGAAAAGTTAATAAAACATCCAGGCTTACTTTTGCTTTTCTAAATTACAGTGTTTCCAGTAGAATATAAAGTGGTCCTCCACAAAAGCAATGGGTTAATTCAGAGAATTAGTCTTATGGCTTTTGAAGTAGATGTTACGTATAATTTATATATAAAAAATAAGAGGTAGACTTTTAAAAATATTAGTGTTGCTTGACATGACTGAAGTAACTGTACACCAATTTAACATACCTGGAAAAAGATTAGCAAAAGAATGTGAATACTAGACCTGAAGTCTTTTTCAGTATCACTATTTTGAATACTTCAATCTTGTTTGCATGGTACCTCAGAGGATTTCTTTGTTAAGGGGTATTACTTTGCTGTTGCTGTGTAATAGCACATAACCAATTCTTTCTACAGTCATTGGTTTGCATTTATGTGATATTCTGAGCTGTGGGACAATAAATGCTTCATCTCTGTCCTCCACCCTGATATCAGGGTTGTGGGTAGTTCTTTCCAAGCTATGTAAACCTGGAACAATGCTCTGTTTCCCAGTTTGATAGTACAGAACTCTGCCCAGTAGCTACTCTTGGGTGAAGTAGAAAACCCAAAATTCTCCCTTTGATTCAAAGCAGAATTTGTGTAGGACCACTTTCTCAAAGTTTTAAAGGGAAATACACATTTTTTCATCAAAGATATGTCAAACAAAAGCATTCCTGAAATAGTAGGCAAGCCTTAATGCAAATATAGTTGTGCATCATCACCAAGCAAGAGCCAGCCAAAAAATTCACACAGGGCAACATACATATTTGCAGTATTTTCTTTTAGAAGAAACAATACCACCCCATTAGATCCTGCAGTAGAATAAGTTCTGTCAGTGCTAATAGTGTTAGTAAATGGAATGTAGCAGGAAAAGACTAGAAAAAGCACAACAGTCACTCTCACTACATGAAGCCAAAGTAATATTAAAACAGAATAAATTATAGGTAAAAAATAAATTGCATATAGTTATATATTAAAGACAATTTCCAGTTAGTTTCACCAGAGTGAAGTCCCAAATTCTGTCCAATGTCCAATCCATTAGCTCAAACCCACAGTCCACAGTCATGTCTTCTTATAGTCAGAGTCCTATTTAGCTTCTGCTATCTGTTCTAAAGGGATATTTAGAGCTGAGGTGGTTTATTTTTTGCTGTGTTTAGCAGTGGATTAAGTCCAGCTGATGAAAATTAGTAGAAAAACTGTGACTACCAAGGTTTTGTAAATGTAACACCCTCTGTCAAAGATTCTGCAGTTTGCAAGTGCAAACCTTCCCAGTGCTAGAATTCCAGACAGACCTTGCCCAACTGAAGTTCTTAAATTTGTTGCATTGCAGTTGGGGTAGTTTTTGCAGTTTATCTTCTTCATTTTATATTCTGGTAAAAGGCCATTTACTTCAACATTGATGTCATTGAAAATACGACATCATTTTCATTTCTTAATTGTGAGATTAGGCTTTTGATACTCATTTGATTCTTCATAAATCTAGGCACTTGTAAAATGGTACCTAGTGGTCCCAAAACCAGCTTTGTGTGGAACCTAGTGGTCCCACATACTGCTACTGCTAGAAAGGAAAAAGGATCACATCACAATATATTTCATCCCTCAGGCCCTTTTGAGCTTCCGTGTGGTTTTAGCCACAGAGCTTGCATTGGTTTTGTCCCCTCTGTAATAATGAAAACAGTAGTGAGGAATTTCATCACCAGTTAAGACAGAGGTTTATTACACTAAAATAATGGATCTAAATACATAAGACTTTCTGCTTTGGAACTTTACAAATCTGTGGCATCAGTTTTACTACTTTTAGCTCAGCAGTAGGTTGTCCTCTGGAAAGAGGTCTGCTGAAATGCAAATTTGAAATCTCTGAAGGGCCTAGCTTATAACTTTCTATCTTTAACTATCTTTTATTTATATGTAGGCTATCTTTTATTTATATGTAATATGCAATATATATGTACTATGTAGCTATGTTTTATTTAGCATGTTAACAAATTACACTGTGTTTGGTCAGAAGAAGATATCATAGTGGCAAAGACCTGTAAGTGTACAATATCTGGTGCTGCGCTGTAAACTGAATCATGGCTGCAGTTACTTCAGACTCTGAGCAGTATAACTGAGATGGTAGTGTAGATCTACTTTGCTTTGGAAAGAGAAATTGGAATTTCAAGCCTGAGTTCTGAAAGACAACCATTTAATTATTTTTGTTTGTTTGCTTTTAATTTCAGCATTAGACTGTCTAATACTATAAGTAAATTTCAAATGTATCAGAATGCTTAGTTAATGTCAACGGTGAGTATCCATCCATTAAAAAAATAACACCATGCATCAAATCCAGCACAGCACTCAAAGTTTATAACCTGCTTCGGCCTGAGATTATGAAGGGTTTGGGCCGAATATTATGCTTGTGCTCAAAGTAGTTGATATCCTGTAAAGCAAAAAGAGATAAAATAGCTTTCTTTGGCCTACAAATCCTCATTCAGTCATAATGCTTTCTAGTTTAAACATAGCTAGCAATGTTTACAAATTTTAACCATGAAGTAACCATGTTTAGTTTGTTCATTCCCGGTGCTCAAAATACAATCACTGTACTGTTCAGAAACATGCAGAGTAAAGTGCAGTTACAGGAGAGAAGGTTGGAAGGTAGTGTGTTGCAGCCCAAAGCAGAGGGCAAATTGTAGCTACCTGCAAGAAAGCTGAATGGATAGTTCTTGGTGTTGGAAAAAAATATTTCTTTGATCACCCTTTTTTTGGATAATGAATAATCTCCTGAGTCTCAGAAAAAAAACAGCAAGAGCTGGACTTTTAAATTGAAACCAGAACAGATAATGACATACCAGAAATGACGATGTATCGTAAGCAAATACCAATACTCACTTTTGAGCTGAGTTAGGAATGAGACCCCTCAGTTGTCCATGAAGCGCGTCTTGAATATTGCCAGATGAATAGAGCCCAATTGGAGAGTTATAGGAGGAGCTCACTACCTGTCTTTTGTCATCAATATTTGCTGCTGCAACAAAAGGCTGGGCCCTTCTGTTGTGAGCTGTACCAATAGGCTTGAATTCCTGTACATGATAGGCAGACAAAACACACAGAGCTACAATGCACACCGAAGCTAGCAATGAGTAAATCTGACAACACCAGTATTGTTAATAACTGCATTTTTACTTTAGCAATTCTGTTATTTTTTAACTGGTGCAGGCATATTATATTTTTCCATGAATTTTGTATGTCCTACTTGAGCCATAAACATTAATTTGTCACCTCCAGGAAAACAGAAGGCTTAGAAGAAATGGGAGGGATGAATATTATAGTGACCTTTCATATTGGTCCCCAGATTTGACACGGTTTACATTATTCTTTTAAAACATTAAATGTATGCTTATCTTAATTTCTTTGCTTTAGTGCTAATCTCTAGCTTCTTCATTTTCATCACATAGTGGTAGATGGACTTCCAAAAGTATGATTTTATTGCAAGTGTCTTACCTAGAAAACACATAATTTTTAATGCTTATTTTAACTGAAATAAAATCTTGAACACACATCAGATTGAGGACATTCTTCTGAATGTATTTAATTTTTAAAGCATATCTGTGTATCAAAAATTTCACTGCTCTATAATTTAATGTGAAATCATCATAAATAAGTAAAACCCAGAAATGGGTAAATTTGAAATCATTCTGCCTATGTGCCCATATTCTGCCATATGTTTTTTGTCATCTACCAGGATAATTTCTTCAATTTGTGGAATTTGAAACGATAAGGTCTGGAAATAAAATCTCGGTTTATCAGGTATCTTAATATGTCCTTCTGTAGTGGTTGGCCAGGAATGATAAAGATATTTGACTGCATGAAAATTCACTTATTTGTGTTCTGCAAATTTATTACAGTGTGCTTTGAGGGCCTTCCAGCTCAGGTCCACTCCTAAGCCTCAGAAATAAGGACTTTGAAAAAAACTAATGTTTTCATCTGCCGAGGGTTTTTTCCCTTTTTCCATAGTGAGTGAAGGACATGAACTGCTGCAGTTCATCACCTTGTCCTGATGGCATGTGGCACTCTTTGGAAACAGTGCTGTGAGAGGAGAGCATTTGAACTTTCATCCATATGGAATAAAAAACTTTTGTTTCTAACAAAGAAGTTTCTACAACCTGAATTGGTCTTTTCCTTAGAAACTTGAACTTGCAATGTTCAGATAGCAGAGGTCATTAATACTTCAATTTTCATAGAAATTTTTTCCAGTTCTCCAGTTGTGTTTGGTATTGAATACAATTGTTATACAACAGTTTAGGATCAGACTAAAGAAAAGTCATGGATATATAGAATATGCAACCAGAAAATGCAAACAGTAAAAAGCAGTTTTATTAAATGAAAATGTTGAGCAGCATTGCACTTTAAGAGGCTACTGAAAGCAGTAATCAGATAAATGAGCACAAAGCTTTTACTTGCAATTCCTTCTTTCTGCCTGATAGAACAGAGTTGCAGTTAATAAAAATGTATTAGTAAATGGAAATAATCTAATGGTTTAGGATCATGGCTACTTAATGAAAGATATTAATGTCAAAGTATTTAAAATTGATTCAAATCCATGTATGATACAAAACAAATAAAACCAACTGTGAACATTGTAATTTCATCCCCATATTTCATTTCTTATAGAGAAATGAACTGAAGATGTGGCACCATAACAACATGTTTACAATGTAACAGTTGTGAAACAACTTGCAGTTAGTGAGACTTAAATTCTACTTTCTTTATAACTCATCTATTAATACAAAATGTCAGTGAAAGAACATACAGCAGCAAAAGTAGTCCAGCTCTTGTGTTTATTTGATATCGTTGAGTCAGTGAAAAGTCCTCTTTTAGTTCAAAAGCTAAATGAGAACTGGAAGTTGTTGGAATTTCGAAATAGGAATATTGGAGAATTACAGTACTTAATTTATTAATTATTTTTCCCAACTGACTGATTTTTTTGCAGGCCTAGCTACATTTTTGCATTGATACAGGTGTCAGGGATAGAAATAATGTAGCACCTGTAGAAATGCATCTGTCACAGCTTATATGATGGCATTCCTTGGGGTAATTGCTGTGACAAAACACAAATGTGTACGTTTTGGAGGTATCATGTGACTAAGATCTTTATCTTTGAATGCTGTTAGAAAGAGGGGTAAGTCTTTAAAACTAGCCCAGCACAACTGTATTGTTTCAAAAGCTGATTATAAATGGTAATAGACTAATAACTTCTTAGAACAATGGGTTGTGTTTTTCTTAGATTTTTATACTTATCTACATGCATAATATATCTCCCAGGAATGCATAATCTCCTTCATGGCCAAAAGTCTAGTCTGACTGAATGTTCAAAGTTCAAAAGCAAAGGTAGAAGTAAGAAAAAAAAGTTCAAATAAAAACAATTCAAGAAATTGTGACAATGAATACAAAATTATTTTCAATGAGGTTAAAGGGATCATAACAGAAAACATTTAGGAGTCATTAATCTTTTACATTGACAATACAGCAGAAAGCATTTTAAAAGTAATTTTATGATAAAATTTGCCATGTAATGGTTTTGTTTTCTCTTTCTACATATATTTGTTGAGAACCTTATGTTCTAAATTGCCTTTATGCAGAATACAATGTGATTCTTCAAGTGGTCTGCTATTTCCTATTATTTATCCATCACACTATAGGTTGCTCCAGTCTATCAAAATCAGGGTGGCTGTTTTTTTATGTGGGAATGTGTAGCTTTCAAGAATGACTCTCAGTCAGCCACTTAGTGCTGTGAATTAGAATTGTTGCCTCAGTTTCCTCTTCCCAGATTTAAAAATAGTGAGAAATTTTACTGTGCTCTGACAATTGCCTGTATCAGTCTCCAGGTACTTTTTGGGATATTCTCAGGCTAATATCTCAGGCTAAACCTTCACACTGTAGCAAACTTCTTAACTTCAGAAGTTTGCTACAGTGTGAAGGTTCCTTGTTCCATACTGTATGTGGGCACAGTATTTAATTATCAGGTTTCACATAGCCATCTCCATGAATCTGTAGAATAATTCTCATTCATTGAAGCTAAAGTAAGCATTCTTTGCCAAATATTTGGCCACATTGCTGAACAATTTAAAATAGGGTTTCCATTCATTTGTAAGTATCTTTTATTAGCTTACAAACTTGAATTAGATACTTATTAAGAAGATTGTGTAAGTCATCATTTGTTATTGTTATTTAGTTGGCTCATAATGTATTTTAAATAACTGACTTCTCTTAATGTTCTTAGTGAATTTTAAAATGTCTATTTGATGAGAGTGAAAAAAATAGATACATTTATAAGATCTATGACCTTTTGAGTAATTTCAGTTATTATATATATATAGAAGTCAGGGGTTTTCCATTTCTGCACACCAGTAAGTGTATGCAACACTTTTGGATAAAAGATTTCTATATTTGAAGTAATACATTACTGCTTTTGCATTTTTCTCCATTCATCTTGGCTTCAGTGCCTATCTTTATTGTTAGAATTCAGCAAACTTTTAAAAGATTTGGACAGCACAGGTTGTAGTTTTGCAAAAATTTGTCATCTGAGATTCAAGAAACTTTTACTGTTTTCTATACTGCTGTGTCTTGTGATGTGACTAAATATGCTGCAAAATTTCATATTAAATTCCAGCAATTGTAGAAAAATAGGCTATATGTATTTTTTATTCCACAGGCAGTGGTGGACACTCAGATGGAAGAATTTAATCTAAAATGTAAAACATTCCACAAATGATTTAGTATATTTGCTTGCAAGCATTGCTACTTTTTGGATGCCTACTATTTATGAAATATACTCAGTACTCCTGAAATTCCTAGGAATGAAAAAGAGATATACTAAATGAAAATTCTGGCTGTTTAATGTAGGAGAAACAGTTTTTCTGATTGCCCAATGGAGGCTGCTTTTCAATAGTCTGCCAGATAGCACTTAGTGAAATCTTGTGATCTATTTTTAAGGAACTGTCCTTTTTAGGAATGCAGCTTTCATGCAGAGGGATTGCTCTTGTGTCATGCATGCCTGCATGGTTTTCTCTAGCTTTTGTAGTGAATTTGTTCCATTGCTAGTCATCTAATGTGTATCCTAGCTCTTCCACAAGAATATGCATTTAAAATAGTTTTGTTTCTTCACTATAGTACTTCTGCTGCTGAAGAGGCTATATATTATTTCTGATGGAGTTTGCTGTATCACTTAAAGTTTTAGATCAGAAAGAAGAGAGAGAAATGTAACACTGAAATGCTGTATTCATGTTTGGGAGCATCTCCGTGAAAACAGAATTGGTGCAAGTATTTATTGCACAGGGTTTATTGAAATGGAATCTAGGCTTACATTTTTTTTTTTTCCTAGGATATCACAGAATAAATACTTTGACATATTTGCTTTGAGCCTGGCCTTCCAGGATCAGCAGAATATTCTTCCCTCCCTGCTCTTGAGATAACAGCAAATGTTTATGTAGGTTAAAGAGGAATGTAGGTTAAAGAGGAACGAAATAAAGGATGAGTTGTAAGCAGTGGCTAGCTAATTTGCTATTAGCAATATGAAGGCTTTGACTGATAGTAGCTTTTCTTTTTTTGAGTTTGAAAAGAGAGATGGCTTTCAATTGATTGGATTTGCTTTAGTCATATACAATGATCAAGACTTTCCTAGTCAGAAGTGGTGAGTGATTTGCTTATTGACCTGTACATGGATCTTGTGTAAATATGTAAACTTCAGTTCTCTGGCATAGTATAAAAATGTGTGGAGGTAAAGAGATTCAGGATTTAAAGATCTCTCTGTTTAACTGACTACATCAAAATGAAGTTTGCGATCTGATGAGTTCATCACTTAGGTACTTGATATTTATTCTGAATTAAGAACTTCCACCTATGACGAAGAATCTCTAAAAGAGTTAAAGCAACTTGAACTGTATCAGAATAAGAGGACATCTTTTATTTCTATAATAAAACTATGGTGATATGTAGACTCTTAAAGGAAAATGAGAATTTGTTGTAGTTTTTTAATGTTTTGTTTTGGTTACAGCTGAAAAATCAAAAACATTGAGTCAGATAAAATGGTGTTCCTAGATGTCATAATCATGGTGGTTCATATGAGCTTAAGCTGGCCAATTATGGATGAAGTTCTAGTTTTAGAAGTTCTAGAATTTTAATGACCACAAGAGAGATTTCTTTGAGTTTAAAAAGGCAAATGAAAATGTTTGGGTAACTTTTCAGAGTTCATACCTGAGGTTCAGCTTCCAAATTTATCTTGAAGGGATGTGCTTTGCCATCTTCTGAAACTTGTGGGGACCATAATTTAGTTCCTGCCCTAGAAAGAAAGTGAGGCAGAATTTAAATAATTTGAATTCCTATAGAGTTGTGTATGTCCCCATAAATTATAATGCAGCTTGTAAATCTGCAGGTCTTTTCTATGCTTTTTTAATTATTTGACATTAAAATATGTCAATGATATGTAACTGATATCTATTAAATGTATTTACTTTAAAAAAATTATGTATGCTATTAGCAATGGGAAATAGGTTGTTAATAGTTATCAAATGCAAAAGGAAAGGGAGATTAGTGCCTTTCTGATCAAGCTAACCAAAGTTTTTAGTTGCTAGTTTTTAATGGTTGCTAGAATTTATGTTGGGTCCTCAGAATATTTTATATAAATAATTGAATGTATTAGTAATAAGCCTAAACATAAATTTCTTGTTTTTAAAGACCCTAATTTCCATGTCAAGCCTGCTTTTCAATGTTGAAGTGCAGTCTAAGTATGCAAAGTATTTGCAAGGGGAAATTGAAGTTGCACTGATGATTCTTTCACTCATGTAGGCAGAAGTAACAAACACGAAAATATCAGTTACAGTTCTGTTTTTATTGACAAAGTGAAATGTGTCAGCTAATTTTAAAGTAGGGTAGTAGTAATGTTAAATATGAATCTGGTACTGCTTGTTATATATACATTTATCACATCTTGAAACTGACTTCCCAGGATAGTTGTTAAATGACATATCAATCTGTAGCAGAATATTGAATTAACAGAAGGAATTTTTAACTATGGTGTGTGCTCTAGTAATTCAACAACACTCCTTAAAAAAAAGGAAACACTTTTGTATTTCAAAAGAATTATTGAAGTCAGCTACCATAAAGAGCTGTGCCTCCTTGAGAGCCTCAGGTTAATCAGCCCTGTCTTAGTTTTGGAGACAGCTGAAAGAGTGTGCCAAGTGATTCTGATTACAGGCTGAGCAAATTCAGCTGGAGATGTGAAGCTGCAGGTTGTTTCTCTTCCTGGCTCTAGTAGAGAGAAGTGAGCACAAAAGTTTCTGTATTACTGCAGTTCAGGTAAGACAGTGTTTCTCTGTTTTGTTTTGAACATTGCTTTGAGAATAATTTTTAGGCTTAATATGTTATGACCAAAGAGATCGATTGGCTTTAAACTCACTCCTTATGAAAGTGTGATGTGATGTTGTTTTCCCTAACTGGGATGATGCAGTGGCAGCTTCATATGTGGTTGGGAGAAGGAGGCAGTGACAAGCACATGTGGCTGAGGGAGTGTTAGAGCAGAGAGGTCACTGAACAACTGACACTAGATGGGGGTTTTATTATTTCCCCAAAACATGAAGAACTGCTTGCTTACTGACAGTAAACAGAAGACATGTGCAGTCAGCAGAATTACAGAATTACAGTGTGAATAACATGGGGGAAGCCGTTCTTTTTGTGCCTACAAAGATGGGTTCTGGGGAGTCTTGCTTGATCTGGAGTTTAAGAGGTAGGTCTGGTACTTGTAGTTTTAAGGATCTTGGAAACTTTCTCAAACTATTTTAAATAGTTGCACCATATAATAATTGTACTGTTGATTGAGTAATATCTTCTTTCAGAAATAGGCAGATGTGTACACGTACCTCTCTATTTTCAAAGAAAGCTGATGTGTAGCTGCTTTGATTCTCTCCTGGGCATCATTATGTGTCATGTTCTCTGTGCCTAGACCATCAATAGCTATAATAACATCACCAGGGCACAGGTTGGCGGCTGAAGCCTTGCTTCCAGGTGTAATCTGAAAAGACCAAAATGTAACTGCTTAATCACCATTCATGGCCAAAAATTGATAGAGAAAATAAACTTCATCACATTCCCCTATTTCCTATTGGACAGGGGAGGTACTTTGCTAAGGCTCTGCAGTTCTATTGTCAGGAAACCATATGAATGTTTTACTCATCATAACTCCGAATTAAAAAGAAATTATCTTCACCTTTCTGCATTAGTCTCTACTTTGATTTCTGTAATTACTGTAACTCATCTTTAAATATTATTTCTCCACTGCCATTGTAAATATAATTTGCTTGAAAAAAAAAGTTATATTTTCCCTTTAACAACAAGCAGTAGAAAAGCATTGGTATTAAATTGTGTTGCTGAACTCCATAAAGTGCTTAGTTTTAAATCCCATGGCATTTAAGTACCAGTGGCCCTGATCCTTCATGGTGGTTTGTGTGGTGCAATTCATACCTTATGTACATGTACCACTATCTGTGACATTCACAGAAATAGCCCTAAACTTATCTTTGCTTGCTTTTTTCTTTTTTTGTCTAGCTGACAAACTTCTATATGGTTGTGAAACTAATTGAAATGCAACATAATTTTGCTTTGAAATAACTATTGTAGAGAGGCCATGACCTTAGATGTTACTGAAGCTTGTTCTAGAATTACAGGCCTCTATTTGCAAGAGGTGACTTCTCCTGCCACTACAACACTTACAAATACCACATACACAAGAGGTCTTAGGTCACTGAGTGGGATTTCCGTCCCTTACGTATGTATTGCCATTTTGGGCAACTCTTGATTACATAGACAGCAACATGAAATTGATGCCTGTAGCACATAAACTTCTGAAATTCAGCTCTTAAAGAGCAGAAGGGACAAGTTGGGTCATGCAAAGTAACATTAGCTGCCTATTTGTAAGTAAATGAATCCCAGTGTGAAGGCAAAAAAAAAGTCAATAAAGTCTTATTTCCAAATGTAATTCTTTTATCTGTGGTGTATATTAAATGAAAAAGAATATTGGAGAGAATTTTTCTCAGTATGGGTTGTGCTATAGTGAAAGTAAGTGTTGTCTTGACTGCAAAACATGCTATGGAGACATTATTCAGCTGTGTTGTTTCACGGTTTTCTAGCAAAGGAAGAGAGTAAGCTGCCCAGTGTACTTCCAGCATGTTCTGAACCCCTGCTTTGGTGAAGCTGGCAGACTTGTCTCTGAAGGGGACACTACTGTCAGCATAAAAGCCAAATAGAAATTCTTTTTACTATGAGTTGCGCTGTATTAGTGTTGAAATAATGGTAAAAATCAGTGAAGAGGAGTAGTTCTCTCCTCTTTCCATCTCCGCTAGGGCAGTCTAAATGATCAAAGAGATTGTTTTGTGAGCTCTTTTTCTGCATTCCCACATGTAAACTTATTTTTCATATCACTGCAACAAACTGCAATGCATGTGTTTTTATCAAGTCAGGCAAATTTTTGAAAGGGGTGCTTATGGCCAGCTTCAGACTTTTACACCCTCACCCTTCAAAAGAATGGACTAGTGTATTGTGTGCTTAACAAAATGTTCAGGTGCCTGAATAATCTCTTTGTATATGAATTGAGGAAGTTATAAAGTCTAAGTCTGAAATATCTAAAATTGTCTACTTCTCAAACTTCAACAGCTGCAAGTGTAAATGATCAGCGTTGAGACCACATATACCACTGTAATAAGACAGGGGTTAGAGGTATGATCATTCTTCTTCCTTCAACATGGAATTGCTCCTGATTTGGCTTAGCAGGTTTGAATATCTCTGCAATGACAAACTGCAGCAGAATTCCTCCTGTTCCAATGTGACTGTTGATGCTTTAATACCTAACTGGGCAAACCAACCATTCTTGGTTTCCTCTCAAGAGTAACTTAGCTTGTATAACCCTTATGGAGGTTACCCTGCAGCTTATGTGTTTTACACGTCACAACAAATCATCTGCTGTACCTGTGACATACTGCAGCAAAGCCCTGAGATAGTGATCCTGCCTTATAAAGTAGTGTGTCTGCCTAGCACAGTACATTCCCCTGCAGCTCTGCTGCTAGCAGAACATGCCTTGCTCCCTGTTGCTCCTAAATCCCTTGGGTTTTGTAAGTTGTCAGCAGCTGCAGTGATACCACATAGATGTTTGAATGGGGTTACCATCGCTTGGTAGGAGCAAGGAGGGAAAGGCACAGGAGTCTGTATTTCCTATTCCTTGGCTGAACTGATCATTGCCAAGCTCCTGAGATTTCCCTTGGGCCTTAACACCTTGATGGGGGTTCTGTGCTCTACATGCCCAGGCCTGCTAGTCTGCAGAGCAGGCACCTGCCCTGCAGACTACATTTAGTAGGAAGGGACCACGTTGTGCAGTGCAAGATATCATGGGTATGATATTGACATTGTTCTTTGTATTGACATGATATTGACATAATTTAAGTGGTGCTGTTTCTTAAGGACTTATTAGTGACACATTATCTGTGTATTTTGAACACTTAGAATTGTGTTGTGACAGTAGTGCTTTTGCTTGCTCACCCTGGCTTCGTGAGGTAGATTCTAGTCTTGCTTTGGGAAATTTTTGCCTTGCTTTTCAGGCCATGTCTGCATGGTATGCCTGTTACTCCTGTATCCTGGGCATCTTGGATGTGGATAAATACAAAAATATGTGTTGGTCATTCAGATGTTACAGACTATTTAGACACATGAGGGTCAAATGTCTCCAAGGAAACTCTGAAAAAATTTCTCTGGATCTGATAATAGACTTGTAAAGCTTATCACCTTACACCATCATAAATATTTCAGGCTCTGTGTTTTTTGAAGAGCGCTATGAATGTCTACAGACAGAGTGGCTAAACATAAAATTGAGTTAATATGAATACTTGCACTGTGATTGGTAAAGGTCTATAAAATAAAATAGAACTTAAATCTAGAGTTCATAATATTTTACCATTCTCTCCAAACTGCACAAGTTTCAATTGTTCCTGTAATCAGTTTCATTATTGCAATTTCTTTGCATCTGTACAAAGTTCCAAGTATTCTAATGTTTTCAATCTTTGTAGTTAATTTATTGTTTTTGACAATAATAGAATTTGAATATGTTGATTTTTACTCCCTTCCTGTGTTTCCTTTTCCTCTCTTCCAGTGATCATGGCCTGTAGGTTTTCATTTGCTTGAAACAGTCAAAACAACAGAACAATTTTCACATGATCTTTTGAAGTGACATCTGTTCTTTAGACAGGTGGATAATGATCTCTTATGCCGTCTGTCTCTCTTGACAAGTCCTGATAAAAGCTGTCTCGTGTTGAACAAGGACTTAGCCAACCAATCTTAACACCTGTCCAATTATTTTATTCAGAAAAAATTTAAAAGTAATTTCTATTTATTTAGTTTTTCTTGTCAGGACAGTTAAACCTAGTGTGAATGGGCTGCTTATGATAACCTTTACAAAAGGAACACCTAGACCCCAAGAGGCAAGACTGGTGAATCTTTTGAAATGCTCTCTATTTCTTAAGGGGTATTGCATGAATACTTTATGAGGGACTCTTCTAAATGTATGCAGTGGCAACAAAAATACTAACTTTAAACAAATTTACTGTTAATATTTTTAAACCGGAGCTAAGCAAATGTAACCTTTTTTTCCTATATATATGTATTTATATATATAGATATATTTAATTGTACTACTTGAAACGTGATTTTGAGCATTTCTGCAATGGCTTATGTCTAGTGAGGCATTTGGTAGGTATGAGTCAACTGCAAAGTAATTTATTCTTTAGAAAGTTATATTTATAGTAACATCCTTTGTTATTGCAGTTTTAAACTTCATTGCACTTAATCTAAACACAAAGAAAATACAAACCAGACACCGCTAAAATATTTTTCATTAGAGATAATGGAAACTATTTTTCTTTTAGAGGCCCATAAAAGGCAAGGAAGGCCCCAAAACATCCAGAGATTTTTTTTTTTTAATTCAATGTTTCTGTCTCCTCTTTCTCCAAAGGCTTTGCTATATTCTATGAGTAGTTGTTATGTAGCTTCATTCAGTCAAATAATAGCTTTTAAATTTACTCTATTTAAAAGAAATAATTTTTTAATGCTTTTATAAACCTGGAATGAATCACTAGGTTAATTTTTACTAGTTACTATGTGAAAAGATGGTCCTTAAACTTTCTATTGATTCTTGTTTGGAAGCATATTTACTGCAAGATATCACTAGTGGTATCCATCCTTCAAGGCTTTTGACATATACTCAATACCAGGCAAAGTGTATATAGTAAGTTGTAGTGTAGGGCTTAAAAAAAAACAACCCAGAAAAAATGAAACAAAAAACCCCCGTAGCAATTAGGAGGCTCGTGGAACACATATTTGGTGTGTCTAAGGTCCTGAAAAGCAGCAGAAATATAAGGAGAATGAATTCTAGTCTGCTGGTCATTGAACACAATTTTGAAAATACAGAAATTCTCCAAATATGTACCCTGTATTTTGAGCACATCCACATCTGTAGATGCAGGGCAGCTGACAGTGTGTTGTATGCTACATTGATGAGTCACTGGTTTCTTATATTGTAGCTGATATCTCAAAATCCATGAAAAAGAATCAAGGCTCAAATTCTTGCCATTTATTGGGGGAGGGAGGGCAAGGTAAACTTTTAGTTTCTAAATATGGCAAAACCCACCAAATAACCCACCCTATTTCATATGCAGGACTGGATAACTTTCTAATAACTCACTTTTTTAACATTCATGAAAGTGAAAACTTTTCGATGTGTAAAAACAGTTATTGTTGCCTTTGCTGGCAATAAACAGAACTTGGTTTAATTAAATAAGAGTCAGATTAATCTGCAAAGCACAAACTGCCAGGCATGAGGAGCTGCTGCCAAGCAGTTTTCTCCCCTAGTGATCAGAGAGGCTAGTTGTGGAAAGCATAAAAGTGAGGTCTTGCTTTTAGTTGGTTTAAATGTAATTTTGAAAGCCTAGGAAATAATGCCAAAGTTTTTCTGCTGCCAACGCACTTGAATTTAATTTTGACACCTAAGTAGAAATGCAGTTAAAGTCTCTTAGACCAATCACAGAAACATGTCACACAAAACTTGTAAAAACTCTTAGTATTCAGCTGGCTTTCCTCAGAACTAGCAGCTACTTTTTTATCAGCTCACAGCTTTGTCTGCATCTCTGAACTCCAGAAAAGTAAATGACAAAAATCTACAGCAACTATTAAATGGAATAAGTAGAAAGGAAATTGAAAGAGTACATACCCTGGTTATGATTAAGGGTTGGTTAAAATCTATTCCTCCTGAGAGCCTGAATCCCCAGGGTGATGGTCCTTGGAGAACAACATTTTGTGGCATTGTGGACGGATTTTCCTTGTTACTGTTCTCTTTTCCTTGGGTCTGTGTGAGGAGCTGAGCTGTAGGAGGAAGGCTGCTGTCAGCAGAGCACCTGCCAGACAGGGCAGCCGACCTTTTATACCTCCTAAGAAGTTTTACTCATTCCAAAGCTGTGGGCACTGCACTTTATCCTTGCTCTTTGGGTGACGTCAGCCAGTCCCTCGGCTTCTCCACCCACAGAGGGGAGTATCAAACTCGGACAAATAAAGCTTGAATGCTGGAAAGTTTACAACAAACGCATCAACTTTATCTGCTGCTTCAGCGTCCCCCTCAGCCCGACAATCAGTAAGCTTCAGGATGCAGCGTCCTGGTTTCTTAAAGCAACCTTGTTGCTCACTTGATATCTCGCTGTTTATGTTGCTGGTGTTTGATTCAGCTTTGCAATGCAGTGCTTTGATTTTGTACATTACTCTGGTTCATGTAAACAGAAGTACTAAAAAGGAGATTTCCCTCTCAAGGTCTTGTTTCACATCTTGTCTTATTTGTAATGTAACAGGGTATTGCATTAAAAAGTCCTTCCAGCCCTTCAGCTGCATTTTTTTAGATAGTCACTTGAGACCATGGCATGCACCAGTCCTAATGCCTTGAAAAATCTGGACTGACGTCATACATATTTCTCATACTGTAGAAGAGAAATGCGGTATTAGGTGATGATGTCTTTTTCCCTTTGTACAAATCTTAGCTTTTTAAAGACAGTTGTCCTTTGCTTGTGACTTGCTAGTAAATAGTAGTGTTCATCAGAGGTTTTTGTAACTGTGTTCTTGTCAAGAATATTTGAAAGATATCCTCTGTTATTAAAGTATAATTCACATCCTGATCAGAATGAAACACATAGTAGTGACTCTTTGAAAGTAAACCATCAGAAAGGGTATCTGTATCACAAAGAGCTTGCAGGGTGTCAGTCAGCTGGTGGGGGCACAGCTTTCATTAGGAATGTGAAGGAAGATAGGCACATTTAAAGAAATAAGGCAGGTGTTTAGGTTAGTGGTGTATCAGTCTTGGTGGCTGAAATACTTTTGTGTATTTTGAAGTTGAAGAAAAGATCCTCTCATTCTTTCTGAGTGGTGTACATACTCTGGTACATCCTAACATTTTGAGATTGGTTCAGTATATATACCTTCAAAATATTGCCACTATATAGTTCATCCTGTCAGAGTACACAGTGTGTGTTCAAGGTCAGAACTTATCACCAAGTAGTACTTCAGTTTCTTACCTTTTATCCTCTTCCATGATTATCTGTTTTGAGTGAAAACACCTTGCATATTTGGTACTCTTTTGTTTTCATTCCTCTTCTGCTAGTGAATCATGTAGTGTGTTTTGATTTGTAGTGGGAAATGAATAAGATATTAGATGTATTTATTTAAAGAGTTCTTTCCTGTGCAATTTGCATTATCTTTTTCTCTGAACACTGGCAATGTCAAATATTAGATTGCAAATCCTGCAATGCGCTTCAGTAGAAAATGATTCTGAAATATAGGAATTTCAGTGTCAGGTCAAACAGTATAATCAGGCTCTGAGTTTCCTGGGTCAAAAATTATGCTTGTATAATAACTTGTCCACTGGGGAAATTCCTTCCAAGTTCCCATTCTTAAGTTACTGATTTATATCTTAATGTGCAGGTTTACTTTCTGGGTGTGGGGTTTTTTATTTGGTTGTTGTTTGTTTTTTTTTAAGAAACCCAGGTTTGTGATTGCTTAAGTGTCTGTAAAGTTTGTTCATGTTTCTGTACTATACTGAAATTTGCTCATATGTCCCTTCTAATCTTGCTAGATATATGTGAGGGCAGGGTGGTTGCTAGGCAAGTGATAGCTCTCAGTTTCAGTGGAAATCATATGCATCTATGAAGCTGAGCTCTTACTTAAAGAATAATTTTTTTTTCTGCCTGGTTTACTGGAAAGGTGACTTGCTCTCCAAGGTGCTGTTGCTCTGGAAAGCAATTGTGAGATCTGGTTTTATTGATGTTTCCCAGGTTCAGCTTTTTTTTTTTTCCTTTTCTTTTTCTTTCCTCTCTCTAATTAGAAAAAGGAAAAAAATAACCAGAAAATTGGAAAGGCAATACTGACTTGATGCTTGTCACATAAGGCTGTTTTGTAGTTCCTTTTCAATGACTGCTTTTAAGAAACTCCTTCACCCATTTACGTAGTATGTGTACATGTTTTGGCTTATCTACCTAGACCACTTCTGTTTTTACATACTAGACCAAAATGACCAGCTGAGCTGGATTGAAGCCAGAGACTTTTATCCACTGGACAAAGGTATATTCCTTTCAGTAAAGTAAAGAACATGTTCTTTTTCTTGTCTGGTTTTAGGGCATCATATTTTCTTTCTTAATAGTTGTAACTATGAAAATAGGTTTTTGTAAATATGAAGCAGTGTGCTATTTCCTCTTTTTTCCCCCTTGTATCATTGAAACTTCCATATAATAAACCAAGCATTTTTAATAGATTTTTAATAGATTTTCTTTTTTTGTACTATAGGGTCACTGGTGTTACAACTTTTTTTACTTGCAAATTCTGCTGTGAATTTATGTATAAACTGGCCTCCCCAGAATAATAATGTAGTCTTTTGGTTTATAGTATGACTACCCAAATGTTTGAAGCAGGCTTTTGCTTTCCAGGTTGATATTTCATTTGATTTTTGTGCCAAATGTTATTTTTCTATCCAATACAACCTGAAAGAGTATAACCACCATTTTCCACCCACTTCCTCCCCCAAAAATGGAAGGTGGGGGGAAGCTGTGTCAAATTCCTTTGTGTCACTCAACTTGTGGAGATTTGGGAGCTGGGCTCTCAAATTAGGTATTAGAGTGGTAGCAAGGTACACAAATCTGTCATTGCACACCGTGACATCTCTCTAGCTTTCAAACTCTAGCAAACTCCTATGCCCATGGCATGGCATTGTTTTCCATTTTGCTAGCAAAAGGCGAACTTCTTACTTCACATCAGAATGTTTTGGATGCAATTTTCTTGTTTCTTCTCCCAGTATGTCCCTGCCTTGATGGAAGAAAATGTTGTTTTCCTTACAACTTGGCAGACTGAGAGTTGAAGAAAAAGGTTTTAAGGAGCAAATGTTTAAAACCAATTCATCCTTCTGTAAACTCATGGAGTGCTCTGTTTCAGCTGCAGAACCAGAATAAACCCTGGTACAGGCAGAAACAAACAAAAAACCCCCAAACACTTCAGAGTCCACATTTTATGTCATAAACCTTCTGTTTTACTTCAGAGCTTAGTCTATATCATAATAAACTATATTGGACTTTACTGTTTGTGAAGTTTAGACAGTAAGAGTCTAGGATGCTAAATGGAGCCTGAAAATCACTTGCACATGTGGAACAGCATGTACTGAAACTGGCTGTCCAGAGGTGAAAGGTCATAGTGTTCCAAACAGCCTGTTTTCTATTTCAAAACTCATGGGTATATGAGAAATCTTTTTATAATAAATACTACTTATTTTAAAAGAGTTCCCAAGGCAAGAAGACTGATTGTATGCAGATTGTAGTTTTTCCTAATTCCATTGTTTGAGAATGATTAATAATTTGGATACTGGTGAACTTTTCTTATCAGCTTTTGGTTAGTGGATGTCTGACAAATTAGCAGTACCGTTAGTTTTTCCTGGCAAGGGAGAAATCCTCTCTTCTTTTCCTAGGTGGTATGAGAAACACCTCTGTTATTCTTCTCATGCATCTGGCAAGGAAGGGGGGAGTGGAGGTCTTGTACTTTACCCCTCTCCCAGGCATTAGAAATTCCTAGGCTGGAAATACAAGTGAGGTGGAGAAGGACATTCCTACAACTCCTCCCTCCCTGCCCCAGCTTTGTAGATGTTTTTAAGCAGTGATTTAGGTCAACTGACCTCTCATTTTAAACCTTTGGTTATCATTTTTACATAACTCTGATACTTTTCTCTGCTGTTAAGATTCTGAGTAGTAAACTGAAACTGATAAGTATTTTCTTAAAATTTTTGTATGCAGAGGATTTGTTCTAAATTAACAAGCCAATAAGTGTAATTTTTTTAGTGAAATAGTATGTTTCAAAGCTGTTTCATAAAACTCTAAGCAAATTGAAAATAGAAATTGAAATATTTTATTTTTAAAAGTTGTTTAATTACCGATGTGCTTGGTTTTCTTCTTAACTGATATTTGTGCACTGATTTTTTCCCCTTGGTTTTTTTTTTATTTTTAAAAAAATATAAAGGAGGAGTTGGGGATATTTATAAAATAATGACAAATGTTTTAAAAAAAATCTAAGGAGTATATTGAATAGAATGAGATGCTGATGTCACATTAAGGTATTGAAGTACTGCTTACCTTAATTTTGAAAACTCGTGTCTATACCCTACATTTGCAGCTCTGTGTTTGCAATCTATGCATGTATTGACTTTCAGTCTGTGTTGCTAAGACTCTGATTACTGCACTGGTTTTCTGAAGTGTTGCTTCTGTCATATTAATTCAATTTTGCCTGTTTTGCAGGGGGTTTGATATGGTTATGACTAGGAAAGGAATTTGTTGTCCTTTATTGGTTTCATTGTGAGCCTGATGTGTCAGCTCATTTTATCATTATGACTCCCGGCAAAAAAGTTGCAAAGCATTTCTCAGATTTTGTGCTTAATCGCTGCATTTCTCAAATTTCACAATTAATTTTATGGCTGTTTTTTTCCTGTTGTGTATGGAAAAGTGTTTGCCTTTATGTTCTGACAGCCTGTGGAAGTTCTGCTGGAGAATCTTAAAACTGAGGAAGGATTTGTTTTTCTTTTCAGCTCATTCACTCATCTGTGGTTCTGCTCCCTTTAATAGCTGCAGTCAAACGTCATGTCCAAATTTGGCAAGCTGATGCCTTTTTTGTTTAAAGTTAAAGCCATTTTGGCATTGGAAATGAGATAAGCTCATTTCAAAGAACTGAAGTTGGAATAAGTTAGCAAGGCTTTGTGCCAGCAGATAAGTCCATTATGCTTCATAAATTAACATGCTGGCACTTA